AAAACTCGCAACATTTCTTTAGTTCCATGATCGCCGAAGCGTAGAGCAACAATGCTAGATCCGTTTGCACAGCTTTTTCAACATTGTTGGGGCCAGGCACGCTCATTACACACGATCTCCTTAGAGACAGCAACGCAATAACTTCGCGTGATAGACCAACACGTGTGATAGGCCAACATTGCTGGGAATTGTTGCATCCGTTTGCACACCACCGCCAACACGGACGCAACAACTCCCAACATTGTTGGCCCAACAGTAGGTCCAAATAGGCCGTGATAAAGTTTGAAAGGATGCAAATTCATATATTTTTTAGTGACATTATCACTGCCCGCGTCGTGGTTGCTTAAGCTCCCTACTATCTCCTAGATCTCCGAGGATCAGAAATTAAAAAGAAAACAGAAAAGGGACTTTTATTTGAGTGTCAATGTATTTAGCACGAAAGTACTAATTGGGACACTATATTTTACGTCTCCAACTGGAGACGGGACCGCCATTTTACGTGGTCATCCGAGCCACGCGAAGGTCTAGCCTGTTGCAGTGCAAAGGGAGTACCTTCATTTCTCGGTTATTTTAAGACCCTGAGTATTGGTCCGGCCCCAGGAATCGAACCCGCGACCTCCCGCTTTGCAGTCAACACGCTCTACCAAAAACAAAGAACAAGACCACCTGATACAACTAGTTACTACAATTTATTCTGCCTTTCACCGGACCACAACTCATTTACACCATTTCACTAGGCCAGTTTTGTACTTAGCCCTAAGGCTAAGGATGACAAAAAAAAATTAATTACCCGCTCACAGAGCTCGCCATTTCACCCTTTTTAACCCTTTAAGCCCTAAGAGTGATCAGCATCAAATTTCTCCTTGTATTATCAATGCTTTGTAAAACAGAGTGGTCATGAGAATTACGGACATGATCACACACGATGAATTTTATCGATTTCTCCCCACTACTTCTGTAGGAAATGAATAAGGGTAACAAATGAGAATTCAAATTTTGATCTTAGGGTTTAAAGGGTTAATGACTATAATGACTACAAATTTTCTGGGTTATCATGTCTTTTGGGAGACTTGTAGCTCAATCACCCCATGTCACGTTGCGTACACATATTGTTTGCACCCCTTGAAAGTCTAGATAACGGGCAGCTTTTTCTCATACTGCTTCTTATGTTGATAGGGAGAACTTCCCACCCTCCATCTGCTTAACATATTGCACACGTGATGGATGGCCATCAGATGGCCTGTTGTGAGGCGTCCACACTGGTTCACCAACAAACAGCCTCATGGCTTTGATGTAATTCTACATTAAAAAGAAAAGAAATCAAGGAATAACCATCAAAATATGTTTGCTGAATACGGATACCAAAGAGAAAAAGCCAAGTTTTCATGTTTCAGAAATGTCCCCCATCTAAGGAATCCAGATTCCAGAATCTGGGAAACTTTTGGTAGTGGAATCTGGAATCCATGATATTTTTGCCCATGGAATCTGGGATCCCGGGCTTTAAAATACGGAATACAGCCCAAGGAATACAGAATCCAAGTACAACTGACAAAGACTGGAATCAAGTACCTGGATTCTGGAATTCAAGGCATAGAATCCAGAATCCAAGACTGTCTTGGAATCCCTTACAAGGGGCAAGAAGTGTCTGTGTTTTAGACGTAGAAATTATTCTGTAAGTTTGGTTCTATGAGACATGCACTTTTATCTTTGGTCCATAGTCTTTCTTCCTTTGTCTTGGAGTCAGGCAAGGAAATGACGAGTGATAATTATTAGGCCCTGTTTATTTAGATAAAAGTCATCCTGGGTAGAAGAGTCACCTGCCAAGCCATGCTACCCAGGGCAAAGCAACTTTTCATAGTGGGTCTTTCACACACAGCTTAGCACTATGGGTAAGAACATTTGGTTATCTATGCATCCAAGAAATTTTGGTAGTCACGTGACCGTATGTCATCAGGTGAAATGTATCAAGTGTTTGATGGCCTCTTAATAGAGGTGACAACAATGGGAAAACAACAATCGGAAAACTCTCATTGGGACAGCCAAAAGGTCGCCGTGGCCACTTGATGGTGGCTACTTAACAGAGGTTTAATTTTCCATTCTTTTCTAAAAGTATTTCAGGACTTTGATCACTTTAGCTGCCTAATGAAGGCTGGCCACTTGTAGGTGACTACTTAATGGATGTTTGACTGTATACAAGAAAAAAAAATGAAACAAAATTGAAGGATAACACTCAAACAATCCTGACCTTATCATCCAACGTGAAGCGATGATAAATTCCAGCTGGAAGAACAATCAAATCACCCTTTTCTACAAAAATGCGGACCCACTTGTCTTCATAATTCCTGATGTCAAAATATCCACTACCATCCATAATGAATCTGATTTCCTCATCTGAATGAAGATGCTCTTCAAAGAACATCTTGATCTAAGGAAAACAATGAAAGAAACCTTAAGTTCATTTTAAAACTGATTCTTTTTAGATCAAATTACAAAACCTACATTTTCAACCTATATGCTGCAGGTCCAAATTAAATTCGAGTTAGGTTTTTTTTATATTTTTTTTTAAACCTACAGTAGGTAGTTCACGGATAATTAGGGCTAGGAGACCAGGAAATCGAGATCAACCTTATTAGGTTGACCTAGGTTTGACCTGATTTCAATTTTGACCTGTAACACATACAATGTACATGTAGTGGGCAGCTGACTGGCCACTTCACTTAACAAGTTGAATGTCAGGGTTTTAGTCACAACATTAAGAGTAACAAACTGTTTTTTGCCCCCTCTCTTCTCCGCAAAGGCTCCTGCTGCTATCTAAAAAAATGGTTGATCCAGACTACCAAAAAATTGGAGTGGGGATTGGAGCAAAGTAGTCTCAAGGAAAAGAAATCAAATGGTACATGTACTTGGAGAAAAATTAATCGTTGTCATCATTGTCTAGTATGTAAATAGCTAATAACCCACTGTAATTTTATTTATCTATTTTTTTTTTTTTTTTTTTTTTCCAAAAGTCCTTACTGACATTTCCACTTCATAACGAACATTTTCACAAATGGCCTTACAAGTCTGCAGTTTTCATTTTGAAACACTTTAATTAGCAAGAACTGTTTTCAAATGGTTTATCCTTCCACTTCTGCTTCCAAGCCCAACAATCGGGTTTTCATTAGATCATAAGTGACAGATTCAAAAGCAGAGTTGGAAGAAGATGAAAATGTTTTAATTCCTCAAACTCTGATTACATACATGTCTCATTGATGACTCTCCTTATGGCACCATTTGTTTTTTAACTAGGTCACAAGTGTCAGTTATAAGCAACCTTATGACTCTGCTGATGACTCTGACCAGCCTTTATTATGTGTATGTCCATTAACTGGCTTTACAAACCTTCTGCTCATAGTTTGGTAGTTTTTCAGGAGTACATGTAATGCAGTCACTGTAAGTGTAGCCTCTTTGAGCACGAATCTCTGCAAGTTTACCTTCTTTCTCAAAGTTATCAGCATCCAACTATTAAGGTACATGTAACAACCACAAAGTTATTTCACATTGTACATAATTGATTGGTTGTAACATTGTTGTATCTGTTGTGGTTTAGCTTAAGAAAACAGCCAACATTTTGTAATGCTACCACTGGTTTCCTCATGAAATAACGTTTGGGGAATGTGCAAGGAAATTCCATACTGATGATACTACTAATTAGATCAGGGTACCAGTTAGCCAGCATCGCAGACATAATTTAACCTCTGTGGGTAACATCTGCGAAGCAGCGCCGATATCCTTGTTCTGGGCCACCAACGGATTTGATGAATTACCAGAACAACATTTGGAATTTCTTGATTGGCAAATCAACAATGACATTTTCAACCCTTTAAGTCCCAACAGTGACCAAAGTCAATTTTCTCCCAACAAAATCAATGGAAAATGTTGGGAGAATCAAAAAAATAATCACCTGATGGGAAAAGCTTTGATCTGCTATCAAATTCTCTTAACCAATTCTTGCAGGAAATGTACGGAGATCAGTCTGGAGAGTTTGTATTTGGATCTTGGGGCTTAAAGGGTTAACAGGCCAATCTTGGCGCTGTTTCACAGGCAGACTTAACCAGAGGTTAGTTTCGTCTGTGGCGCAGGCTAGGTACTAGTAGGGAAAATTTTACTTCAACCAATCAGAAGCACTATGCAGATCTGAGTACATGTAGTGATTTGCCGTTGGTATGGCAACTCAGACATCATGCAGGGATACCAGTTTTGGTCCCACAAAATCTTGGCTGTCTTCTCAGTCTAGTTGTGGTTGAATTACATTTTATCCTTGGCTTAATTTCTTCCCTGTTGTTTCAACGAGCATTAAACTCGCCCAAAACAAAGGAAAACAAATCAATTTGAACCAAAACAAATAAACAAAAAATAAATAATAATAAACTACCTAGGGCACTTCCCATCAATCTAAAAAGGAAGCCATAAGTCATAGCTACAAATTTGTTAGTCATGATCTTATACCATGTGTCTGCCTAAAATAAACTGAAGAGAATTTCCAGCTAAAATTGATATGGCGCGAAGATAACAAAGAATAGAGGGGATTTTGTGAATCAAGAGTACTTTTAAAGTCTTCCACCGTTATCAGTAGTAGAATACTACACCGAAATCCATAATTTAGCAGTTTGCATGTTCTAAAGCCCATATAATTGCTTTTGAAATCATGCACATTGTGCAGTCAGTCTGTCATACGTGACGAGCATTCAGTTCGCGTGATCTGAGCCACTCACCTTCCAGTACAGCACGCCACAGTTCTGCAAATCTTCTAAGGACACTGGCTGAGGCGGATCAAGTTGATGAGGAAGTCTCTGATCTTCATCTGAGGAGTCCATAAACCATGCCTTCACCATTTTAACCTGTTTACGATAGCGAACATGTTTAGGGTAACTTCTGACAACAGATATTGGCTTGCTGCGATCATTCAGGAGACAACAACTAACGCTCCGAAAAAGCCTAAAAATAATATCTCGAAGAAAATAGTACTACTCACGTCAAAACGAATTAATCGCCAAAAAACTCTGCAAAGAGACAAGAGAAAATATAGCGATTGCAAAATTCTCAAGGGGCCTGGAAACACGCGAAATGTAACACGTTCCCCTTATTTACCACAGGTTACCCAAGCGTAAAAATGGGCTGGCAACGGCTCAAAAAAACCATAAAATGGCCATTTATAGGCTCGGGGACCACACAGGAAAAAAGAAGCACACAATTAACGTAAGTCTAATTGATTTTCGTTTTTATAAAAATTCCTTTACGTTCGTAGGTTACCAGGTTACAGAAACTATCTTCTCCCACCCCTCCCCCATTAAAATCCTTATAATTTGAAGGTTACGCAATAATGCCGATCATCTTATGATGATTTTACCCGTAAGGTTTTCGTGCTGATCATGATGAGCTACCACTCTGAGAGGCGCCGGTTGAGCCAGACCGAAATGAAAGAAAAATGACTGAAAACAAGAGATTCTCTTTTGCTGAAAATCAATGGTCTATATAATTCTTCAAGGTGATCATACCACGTGAAAATAAACTTTCGCAAAATAGAATAAGCCCATCAACACGACATCCGCTAACAGGGTTTTTCAAACTCGCCATCCCAACCGTTAATTTTCCCTAAATCTGGGCTAATCCCGACTATTATTTACGGCTAATCCCGATCCTAAAGGCACTTACTTATATTACAATGCCTTATATGTATAGGGGTTCCAGATTTCTTAACTCAAGAATTTATTGTTCTTGAACGATCATGAAGATGCTTTTCTTTTCCCTGCTCGCCCCCTTTTCCTTGAGCATCGAAATAAATAGAAGACGTGCTAAGTACGAGCTATTCAACCTACATTGTCGTCCGCTGCAGCGAACAGGCGTTGATTACTTTCTCGTGTTCCGGATCAAGCGCGAGCGGAAGCAATCGCGAGTCGCGCGCGAAGGTGTGACTCGTGCTCCGCGCTCGCCTCGTACATGCCCCGGCTTACCCACAAAGTCTAAAGAGTCACCTAAAAAAGCCAAAACGTCTATTCTCTAAGCGTAATATAAACTCAACATGTTACGGAATACAATCAACTCTCATTAAAGCAGACACTGTAGACACCACGAGGTAGTGTCTTCATTAGCGAGAGTCTGTAATAGCGGGAGTTTATTTTAGTCAAATGTCTGTTATTTTTTTTTGCTTGGGCCCGGGGGGGGGGGGGGGTACTACCTTATATAAGCCATACAGGTATGTGCCGCCATCGGGTAGGGTCAAAGTTATCAGCATCCAACTATTAAGGTACATGTAACAACCACAAAGTTATTTCACATTGTACATAATTGATTGGTTGTAACATTGTTGTATCTGTTGTGGTTTAGCTTAAGAAAACAGCCAACATTTTGCAATGCTAACACTGGTTTCATCATGAAATAACGTTTGAGGAATGCGCACAGAAATTCCATACTGATGATACTACTAATTAGATCAGGGTACCCGTTAGCCTGCATCGCAGACATGATTCAACCTGTGGGTTACATCTGCGAAGCAGCGCCGATATCCCTGTTCTGGGCCACCAACAGATTTGATGAATTACCAGAACAACATTTGGAATTTCCTTTGATCTTGATTGGCATATCAACAATGACATTTTTAACCCTCAAGAGTGACCAAAGTCAATTTTCTCCCAACAAAATCAATACATAATCAATGGAAAATGTTGTGAGAATCAATAAAATAATCACCTGATGGGAAAAGCTTTGATCTGCTATCAAATTCTCTTAACCAATTCTTGCAGGAAATGTATGGAGATCAGTCTGGAGAGTTTGTATTTGGATACTGGGGCTTAAAGGGTTAACAGGCCAATCTTGGCGCTGTTTCACAGGCAGACTTAACCAGAGGTTAGTTTCGTCTGTGGCGCAGGCTAGGTACTAGCAGGGGAAATTTTGCTTCAACCAATCAGAAGCACTATGCAGATCTGAGTAAATGTAGTGATTTGCCGTTGGTATGGCAACGTAGACATCATGCAGGGATACCAGTTTTGGTCCCACAAAATCTTGGCTGTCTTCTCAGTCTAGTTGTGGTTGAATTACATTTTAGCCTTGGCTTAATTTCTTCCTTGTTGTTTCAAACAAGCATTAAACTCCCCCAAAACAAAGGAAAACAACTCAATTTGAACCAAAACAAATAAACAAAAAATAAATAATAATAAACTACCTAAGGCAATGCCCATCAATCTAAAAAGGAATCCATAAGTCATAGCTACAAATTTGTTAATCATGATCTTATACTCCGTATATGCTTTAAAAAAACTGCGGATAATTTCCAGCTAAAATTGATATGGCGCGAAGATAACAAGGAGTAGAAGGGATTTTGTGAATTAAGGGTACTTCTAAAGTCCTACACCGTTATCAGTAGCAGAATATTACACCGAAATCCTTAATTTAGCAGTTTGCATGTTCTAAAGCCCATATAATTGCTATAGAAATCATGCAAATTATGCAGCCAGTCTGTGATACGTGACGAGCATTCAGTTCGCGTGATCCGAGCTACTCACCTTCCAGTACAGCACGCCACAGTTCTCCAAATCTTCTAAGGACACTGGCTGAGGCGGATCAAGTTGATGAGGAAGCCTCTGATCTTCATCTGAGGAGTCCATAAACCATGCCTTCACCATTTTAACCTGTTTACGATAGCGAACAAGTTTAGCGTAACTTCTGACAACAGATATTGGCTTGCTGCGATCATTCAGGAGACAAGAACTAACGCTCCGAAAACGCCTAAAAGTGATATATCAAGAAAATATACTCACGTTAAAACGAATTAATCGCCAAAAAAAACTTGCAAAGATGAAGAGACACGAGAAAATATGGCGATTGCAAAATTCTCAGGGGGCCTGGTAACACGCGTCAGCTGAACACGCTTATATCCCTCCCTAAGTTTATATCCCTAGTAATTTACCACAGGTTACCCAAGCTTAAAATTTGGCTGCAACGGCTCAAAAAAACCCACAAAATAGCCATTTATAGGCTCGGGAACCACACAGGAAAAACGAAAGTAAGTCTAGCTGATTTTTGTTTTTAAAAAATTCCTTTACGTTCGTAGGTTAGAGAAACTATCTTCCCCCACCCCTCCCCCCTTAAAAGCCTTATAATTGAAGGGTACGCAATAATGCCGATCATTTTATGATGATTTTAGCCGTAAGGTTTTCGTCCTGATCATGATTAGCTACCACTCTGAAAGGCGTGGGTAGAGCCAGACCGAAATGAACGAAAAATGACTGAAAACAAGAGATTCTCTTTTGCTGAAAATCAATGGTGTATTTAATTGTTCAAGCTGATCGTACCCCCGGATCGTACCACGTGAAAATTAACTTTGCAAGACATCAACACAACATCCCCTAACAGGGTTTTTCAATCTCGCCATCCCGACCGTTAATTTTCCCTAAATCCGGCTAATCCCGACAATTATTTACGGCTAATCCCGATCCTAAACGCACTTACTTATATTACAATGCCTTATATTTATAGGGGTTCCAGATTTCTTAACTCAAGAATTTATTTTTCTTGAACGATCGGCCTGCATGAAGATGCTTTTCTTTTTCCTGCTCGCCCCCTTTTCCTTGAGCAACGAAATAAATAGAAGACGTGCTAAGTACGAGCTATTCAACCTACATTGTCGTCCGCTGCAGCGAACAGGCGTTGATTACTTTCTCATGTTCCGGATCGAGCGCGAGCGGAAGCAATCGCGAGTCACGCGCGAAGGTGTGACTCGTGCTCCGCGCTCGCCTCGTACATGCCTCCGCTTACCCACAAAGTCTAAAGAGTCACCTAAAAACGAAAACGTCTGTTCTCTAAGCGTAATATAGACTCAACATGCTGCGGAATACAATCAACTCTCATTAAAGCAGACACTGCAGGCACCACGAGGTGGTGTCCTCATTAGCGAGAGTCTAATTTTTCTTCTGGAATTCGGAATCCTGGGCTTTGGAATCCGGAATACCGCTGAAGGAATCCAGAATCCCACGAACAATAAACACTTGGTATCCAGAATCCACTGACAAAGACGGGAATTCAGTACCTGGATTCCGGAATCCAAGGCGTGGAATCCAGAGTCCAAGGAGGGCCCTACATGGTACGAGTTGGCATATTGTTTCTTTTCAGCGACCGACGGTTTAAATATGAATATTTTCTTTACCACCCCTCTGCAACTTTTGTCTTTGAATATGCGCCCGAGACACGCTTAATTGAAGATACCGATACTAATTGTAAGAGTTTGAGGGCAGAACAGAGAAAACTATTTTATCACTGGGAAAGTAGGCGGAAAATAGTTTTATTGTTCAGTTTAAAGTCTTCAGAGGCTTAAAGGGTGGGAAATTCCATCATCCGGTTTAAAAGGAAGCAGCATTTTTTTGTTGTTCCTGGGCTAATGGGCTGTGTTACATTTGTATTTTTTTTTTAATTATTATTCTTTTACTTTATATTGTTTAAATTCTTTAAAGAAAATAATATTTGGCAATCAAATTCGGAACTTTGAAGTGTGCCAATTTCCGTTTGATATTTAAGTAACTCCTGTTTTGTCAATCAATATTTAACTCGCTCACCAAAATAAAAGCTTCTCGGTTTACAGAAATTCCTATTTTGTGACACACACGGTATTTGAGCCCCTATCGTGAAGTTATGGATCCCTCGCGTGTTGTTGTTGTTTTTCGCTTTTCGAAGGAGAAAAGTCTTTCTCCAGTTGAGAAAGCCAGGAACCTTTCTTCTTTCTCGCTAAAGTACTGAAAAATTGATTTGAGTACTTGCTGAGTTTCATCGTTTTATTAACGCAATTAGAACAGCGGTTCAAGGACCAGGTTCGAAGCACAATGAAGGAATTTGGACTGATGTTGGGTAAGTAGAATGTCTTCTTTTTTAGTGCCGATTTACTGACTGTCATTCCGAACGATTTTTCACATCGTGACCGACATTTTAATCTGCCTTTAGGTTTATTGTCCTTCGTTTTAATTTCACGGAAGAACTCGGTAATTGGACGGACATTTACTCCATTTGTTCAGTCAAGTATTGTTGTTGTCCCCTCTGCTGAAGTAACCGTTTCTGCGAGACAAGAGTCAGTACGACAATACAACAACACGAGACAAGATACTGAAACAAAGTCGTTCTTTGAAGTAACAAGTTATTGGAGAGAAACAATTACTACAACGACCAAAAGTAGTGAATATTCGTTTACAAATGCTTCATCCAAACAACTCTTGCCCGCTTTATCAGTGACTTTGGTCTCTCGATCACTGTTAAATGACTTTATCAAAAGCTCATTATCTACCAACGTGCAGCCGGAAAGTTTTGCGCCGAGATATCCATCGCTTAATGTAAAAGACAGTGTCTCAAGTAGCCACGAAAATAGTTTTGCGATATCGTCAACTCTCTACAATATGCTTGCAGCGGAAATCATTCCGACCACGTCCCAAGTCAATGGACTTAGCAAAGCTTCGTCGACGAGAGATAAGGCGCATTTGTCGACCTCTCAAAAAGGAGATAAATCTCGTGTCAGCTATCAAGAAGCTTTTATTAAATCAGCTTTTTTTGATCCACGCGGCGTATCTAATGTGTTTAACTCGTGGACAGCTCAATTTACAAGTTCCATGTCGCAAGGTGACAGTTTATACAGTGTTGTAGTAAGCAAAAATGAAACAGAAATGTTTACTAAAGGATCAGTTGCGCTGACAAACGGGCTAAGGACTTCTTCATCCGCATCGACCATCCGGAAAACCGCGGAATTAAAGCTTCTCTCACAGGCGGCATCGCATTCATCTTTTCGCAAAGAAACTTATCAACACAGCGTGAAAACATTTGATACCAAAATAACTTCAGTAGCCATTAGAGAACAATTTGCCGGTATTTCTGGCATTTCGAAAACAACTGAGAATGGAAAATTGACCCTTATATATCAAGGCTTCACTTCTTCGTTTATTTCAACTGTGCTTGCCACTGGAGTGTCCTCAACCTCTGTAAAAACTTCCTCAACTTCCAGACCACCCAGCATGAAGCAGTCTTTCTATCTGTCTGTGATGACTTCACCAGTTGTTCTCAACAAAATGTCTACTAACTCGATGACAACTTCCACAACGCCTTTACCCCACATGTCTGTCAGCGCGAACAGCAGCAAAGTTTCTTCGAGATCGAAAAGCGAATTCCACACGTCGTCAATAGAAAAGAAAAACAGTGATGTACTTAGTTTATCTTCCAACTCGACGCAAACTAGTGGTGGCGGTGTATCAGATGTTTCCACACATAAATCTATATCTTCTGTAGTTCCAAAAGAATCACTTCGTTCTTCAGATTTGTCTGAGTTTGCTAGAAGAAGCTCCTATCTGACAGAAGGAATGCAAACCGCACCTTTATCGCGGCCAAAAAAAAGTCAACAAACATATCTCTTGTCCACATCTCTTGTAAAAGCCTTCTCAGGTTCGGTAGACATTCCTCAAAATGCTGGAAAACAGACACCAGTGAGTTCTAAACAATCAACTGCGTTGGGCGAAAATCTGTCTTCTTCCTCCTTACTACATACAACGATCACCATGCGCTCAAAATTCCGGTCTGTTTCTGATGCGTCTAATTATAAACATTTCTCCAAATTGATGGTCCCTGGTAGCAGACATCCTTCTTCTATTTCCAGTAGTAATGCTTATCGTGTTCGTTTCTCTCAGTTCACCAAGACCTCCGCTGTGTCCAATGGACTTGTCGCTGCATCCTCCCGTGTAAAAGACCATCCTCAGATATCACGGTTTGCCTCGTCTATATCGTCCTCTCGGAGTTTACCTGCCAGTACACCACCGTCTGCATCCATTGTATCCATGTCTAGCAGATTTTCGATTCCAAACCAAAGCGGAACTATTTACACTGATACTTGGTATCGAAGGTCTCACCTATCATCTCAGAGTTCAACTGTGTCATCGGAACTAGTCGTGTCATCATCATCAACAACAACAACACCATCGCCATTACAATTACAATTACCATCAAAATCATCAGCACCACCATGGCCATCCTTCTTACCGTCACTGTCACCATCATCACCGTCATTTCCCCAATCATCGAGATTATCATCAAACTCCCCACCATCACCTCTACCATTACCAACACCATTACTATCCACATCACCGTCGTCGTCATTATCAGCAGTACCATTACTGTCACTTCGCCATTCACCACCATCATCATCACTGTTACCATTATTAACAACACGATCACCATCACCATCAAGACAATCACCTCCATTGCACTCACCATCATCAACATCACTGTCAACGTCACTGTCACCACCATCATTGCCGTCGTCTCCTCAACGATCATCGTCATTATCATCATCATCCTCATCATCATCAGCAGTATCAACAACACCATCACCATTCATATCATCGTCACTGTTACCATCATCATTGTCATCGTCCACATCACTGTCACCGTCCCCGTTATCGACATCATTAACACCACCACCTTCACCTCCCCAATCACCATCATCATTACCGACACCATTATCAACTACACCATTGCAATCACCATCATTATCATCATTACCAGCGTCATCACCATTATCAACAACATCACCGTTACTATCACCTTCTTTATCATCACCATTATTACCAACACGGCCACTGTCACTGGCACCTCGCCCATTAACATCATCATCACCATTATTAACAACATCGCAATCCATATCATCGTCACTGTCACCATCGTCATTGTCATCATCATCTCGGTCACTGTCACCTCCCCCATCACCGCCGTCATCATTATCATTATCATCATCATCACCACCATCCACGTCACAATTATTAACTACACTATCACGATCCACATCACCGTCATTGTCACCATCATCATTTACATCACCATCACCATTTACATCACCATCACCGGCACCTCCCCAATCATCATCGTCATCATCATCGTCACCACCACCATCAGCATCGTCATCATCATCATCTTCGACATCGTCAACATCACTATCGTTATCATCAACGAAGAAAATCGTCATTGAAAGATATTCCACTGTCACTGGGTTTTATTACGAACCATCACTTTCCAAGTCAAACATGAGATCTAAAGTTTTTCTATCATCTCATCAGAGTTCAACTTTATTCACAGAAGACCATTCACCATCTTCTTCCTGGCAGACCTTCTCTAAGACACAACCGGCTTCTACTTCTAAGATTGGACATCAGCCTCGCTATATCTCTACTGAGAGCTCAACGTCATCCCTAGATATGCACGCATATAGCCGCTACCAGACTCCACACACGGAGTCGTTGGTTTTAACTCTTACCTATCAACCGATGCCTTCTACATTAGAAAGCGCACATCAAGTAAACTTTTCATCTCCCCAGACCTCACTTGCATCAACAGTCTCGCCTTCCTCTCAACCAAAGATCAGCTCCCATGTTCTTCAGAGGAGAAGCTCCGCCGAATTAAATTTGCCATTTACCAGACCCATCCTAAAAACTATTACAACAAGCGTTGTTTATGAAGAAAATATGAAGGGGTCTTCACTGGACAGTACTGGTACTTCGCCAATCAGGGACATCACATCTGCAGTGAACGTAAGCACATAATATGGTACTTAACAAATAGAGTGTAGACAGGCTGTAAGTGATATAATAGCCTGCGAGCAAGCTCTCCGGGGAATACGGGGTGAGAGGGGGGGGAGGAAGAGGGGAAGCCCCACTGCCAGAGCGCCCCGAAAAGCTTGCTTGCAGCGCAGGCTAGTGTTATAAATGAACGCCTTTTGGAGATTTGCACAACAGCAAATTGTATGCTGTCATACATCGCTTGAACTTATGTCGCGAGGTAAAGGTGATTGGCAGCAGTTAATTATTTTTAAAATGTTTTGCAGTCTTGCTTCTCTTTTAAGCTCGACTGTAAGTTGGAGGGTGGAAAGTAGGCAAAGATGTTTTTCGTATGATTTTTGATAAATACAGGCATTCCACTTCGCGTAACCAAAGGAAATCTCCAACTGAAGGAAATATCGGAATAACCGTGTTTTATTTAAAGTTACTTAAGCAAACATTACAGTCAAACTTGCATGAAACAGTCATCCTTGTGAAATGGCCGTACGACCGTTTAATACATGTCATGTGACCTTTAAATACAGGCTTGGCCAGCCTACGCGTGAACTGAGGAAAGAACATGGTTATGGAGAGAAGTACGATCGCAAACCAAATAATCCTCAAATGGTTTCCTATTTGACTCTATGTACAAGTAAAGGACAGTACAGACAATTAAGATTGGAGCCATATGAATTAAGACAGTAATAAATGGGAGCAGATATTTTAAACGATAACTAAGTTTTTTAGTTGATAATATCTGCATAAGGTCAAATCAGTAAAAGCGGTCGCCCTCTTTATTGTGGAGCCGCTTGCTAAATAAGGTCTTCTTTTACCGTACAAAAAGTGGAAATACAGTGAAATCTCTATTAAGCGGGCCCCCAATTAAGCGGACACCCTCTATTAAGCGGATACTAAGCCCGGTCCCGAAAGGAACGTACGTCTTATATTTCCCTTTATAACGAACCCCTGTTCAGCGGACACCTCTATTAAGCGGACGCGGACACTGAAATAAGTTGTATTTGGCTAATTTCTATTGTTAAAAACCACTATTAAGCGGACACCGGACCGAATTGACAATAGTAGTATTGGATTACGTCCTTGAAATTCGTACTGAAGTCAGTTAATGTTTTGCATTTACAGACAAATTAAAGTAGGTAATGAAAGGTAATGAACTTGAACTCTGGATGGCTTCTTTAACAACATGCAGCTTTATCACAGCACATAGTAACCGTTGAATGTTGATCGTTAACAAACATTGCGCAATTTTTATAACCTCTATTAAGCAGACACTGGGGAAGGTCCCGTAGGTGTCCGCTTAATAGAGGTTTCACTGCAATAATTTGGCGAAGCAGCGCCGAGATCTTTGTTCTGAGCCCCCAACGGAGTCAACAAGTTACCGGAAATGCGTTTCGAATTTCCTGTCAACCAGATTAGCAAATCGATAATGGCTTTTTAACAGGCTAATCATGGCGCGCACACAAATCCTGATACTCAGCTGTGGGCTTAGAACACGGATTACGGTGCTGTTTCACTTTCAAGTTCCGTCTGTGCCGCAGGCTACAACCTCAGCTCTAGCCCTGCCCCAAGACCCACATACAAATTCTCCAGACTTGCCTCCATACATTTTTTTTTTAAGAATAGTTAAGAGAATTTGGTTTAAGATCAAAGCGTTCTTCCTTCGGTAATCAATTTAGTAATTCTCATAACCTTTACTCTTGATTATCTGCTGATGCTGTTAAGAGAAAGTTGATGTTGGTCACTCTTTGGACCTAAAGGGCTAATGAAGTTTTGCAAATTGCTTTCCATAGGTCCCCCGGATACCAGCACCAAGCATACAGCTTGGCACCACAGTACCCCCAAAGGATAACATGTCCACGTCTTCACCAGCAGATGTCGCGGGTCATCCATCCACGGAACAACCAACCACCTCAATAGCTGAGATGAGCAATATCAAGCTCCTTGTTATTGTTGCAACCGTGCCAAGTATCGTCTTGTGCATCTTCTTCGTTGCTGTAATGTTCTTTCGACGAAACCGCAGACGCAAGAACAATTTCAAGTACTCCATCAAGTTGGAATACATGGACAGTCTTCGTTCAAGGTGCGCGAACAGTCGCTTAGATCTCAGCTTAAAGGAAATCCACATCGATCTAGAGATGCCGAATTTATCGAACGACAGACGGGACAGTATCGATTGCTCACGCGGGACGAGTTTGACTGGCACGCAGATAAGGGAATTGCAGATTCTATCTCAAGAATGCAAGGAGAATCTAGAATGGATCAGTGAGGTGATTGCTCGCGATATGGGAACATCAATGTGTCCCCGGCAACCCGTTAATCGTGATAGTGTGTACTCGGTTAAAGAAAAAGGAAGCTACGAACCGAGCGCAAAAATTATCAGGAGGGAGTCTTCAAAGCGAGGCAGAGAGACGATTAAGTGGAGAGTGCCGATAAAGCGTCGTCGTGATTCAGGAGAATTTGATCAAAATGATTCCGTTTGTACAGAGGATACAACATTGACTTCAGAATGGAAAGATGAACGAGAAGTTGATGCAGAAAGGAGTAAAGGTGTCGTAAAATCTTGCAAAATTAAGCGAACTCCAAGCCATTTAAGCGAGGATCGTCGAGGTCCAGTGCCTAGTAAAAAACTCGCCGAGCTTCAAGAACAAGAGAAAGACTGGAAAGAAACGGAACTTGATGACAATAGACCAAGCAATGATTTTAATCCTAAAAAAGAAGGAAAACCTCATGGAAAGCGTTCAGGGAAGAGATTTGAAACTTTATGAAACAGCTTTAACTTTAATCCTGGTCAAAACTTTCGGGAAACTAACTCAATAGCTCGTCAAATGACACATTTTCCCTACCCCTCCCCCCACCCCCCATGCAGTGTTGGCGTTATGTATTCAAGATGTTTTGACCAGGGTTGAGATTTCTTTTTGGACTGATTGTGTGCTCAGCTTTGGCTCTGTATATTACCCCGTGGACACCGCCCTTGCACTTATTGCCTAGTGAAAATAAAAAAAATCGGTGCACGTGTCGTAAGCCGAGCTATAAGCTCGATGACATCACAGTAGAAAAAAAAGCTTCCAATGTCAATCAAACTTAAATTGCCCCGGAGGTTCTGGAAATTTCCAAGTTTTCCACCATTTTAATTTCTTCTGAGACTTTGTGACAGCGGGATCGTTGCGTTGTTGTTACATACAAAGTTGAGGCGACCGAATGAAGTCATAATTTCATTTTTCAAAATGGTGGCCAGTGGAAATTCTACAGTAAATATTATCGACATCCAAACTCTTTTAGTCTCCCTCGCAGCTGTCTTTTGGGATGTCACGCAAAGTTCCCTTTGGGGGAACGTAGTCATAATTTCATTTTTCAAAATGGTGGCCAGTGGAAATTCTACAGTAAATATTATCGACATCCAAACTCTTTTAGTCTCCCTCGCAGCTGTCTTTTGGGATGTCACGCAAAGTTCCCTTTGGGGGAACGTTGCGTGACATCCCAAAAAAAGACGGCTGCAAGGGAGACTTTACTCTGATGCATTCAAAGAAAGTTGCTTTCTAATTCTTACAGAAAGAGTTGGAATTAAAATTAAAATTATTTTAGTTAAGAAAGGAATATAATATTAGGCCATCCTAAATATGTTAATGCTACGTTTAGATAGCAAGGAAATTAAGATATGCGAGAATTTGTTTTATAAACAAAATAAAGGTGTTTCTTTTCGCTAGTTTCAGTTACAAAGCCGCGCTAACTTGTATTTGTCCAATCCGCTTAACATTCAATGAGAAGCGCTTAATTTTAAATGGATTACATTTAACAGGCTAAACTCGCTAAAGTATAAGTCGATTTATTATTTTTTTTCTGTCTGACAAATCTTAAGTTACACTGCGATACCCTGTTACACGCAATACCCTGAACATGTCCTTTCCTCTGCTAAATTATCTTATCTTGGAACGGAGACTGACATTTTTCAGTCGTTTGTGCTTTAGTATAATCTTTTCTTGGTCTAAGGAAATATTACGGGGAATTATCTATACATGTCTAGTCTGCGGTTGTGGCCAAATAGAAGCAGATATATATCCGCGATGTTGAGCTTTATCTTTTAAAATCACAGTTTGAAGTTGTGCGACATGGCCGGCAAAAAATAGCTTGCGAGGAAACTCCAATTTGGGAGGGGAGGGAGGGGAGTTAATTGTGAGAAGTCACGCGAAAAGAGAGGAAGCGCAAGGGGTGATGGGAAAGCGGAAAGGTGGGAGAAGCTCTCCCTTTCGTGTTCCGGTTAGCTCGGATCCCGGGCTGGGAAAATTCACCATATGATCCCCATCGAGTTTGCCGAGCCTAGACTACGAGAAGTCCCCCATTTTTCCTCAGGGATAGCAGAGCGAGCGAAACGCGAGCGCGCGTGAAATGATTTTCACGCGCGCTCGCGTTTCGCTCGCTCTACCATCCCTGAAAAAAAATGGGAGACTGCTCGTAGTCTAGCCAAGCCAAATACGCAAACCAAGCCAATTATAAGCTAGGACAGGGGAGAGATAATCTCAGCTGGTAGAGCGCTTAACTGCAGAGCAGAAGGTCGTGGGTTCGATTCCCGGGGCCGGACCAACACTCAGGGCCTCAGAATAACTGAGAACTGAACTGAACTATTATTTATTTATTGTTTGGCACTCCGCAAACAGATAACATTAAAAGGACAACGAAAAAGATAGAAAAGTAACAATTACGAGGAAGCCTAAAAGAAATCGCTTTAAACTAAACCTTATTTTAATCAGAGCCTTCGGTTATGTTACAAGATGAACAAAATTAAAATATCGAAAAAGAAAGATACAAAAGTTAATACTCTGACAAGACATTCTTCTAAGAGCGCTTGTCTGATACAAATAAGCACCTTATTTTATTGAGGTGTTCATAAACAAGATTAAAACTTCAAAAAAGAAAGATATACAAACGGTGATATGTTACAATAACCATGCACCTTTAATTCTTCAATGATGTCTCTAAACAAAATCAAAATATCAAAAAGAAAAGATACAAATGTTTAATACTCTGACACATTTTGCCAAGTTCACGGGAAATAATTATTTGCAATAAACACCTTTTTACGAATGAGGCGTTTATAAAAAAAAATTAAGATATCAAAAAGAAATATGCAAATATTAATACTTTAACACATTGATCCAAGAACGCTAATAATGATTGCACCATTAACCATTTTTTAAGGGAAAAGCCCTGGGGACGAGGTTGGACCGTCCGTGCTGTTGTGAAACTTCAGTCCTTGTTTAAAATAATAATAATAATAAAATAGCAGAAAAATATATGATGCAAGTCTGGCAGTAAGGCAAAGCAAACTGTGCTTTGTTTGTTTGTTTTTTTGTTTTTTGTCTTTTGTTTGTTTTTTTTCTTGGACCAAAAAAGAGAAAACAAATATTCTTCATATTGTGAATGGTGCGATTATTAAATAACCTTAATAATTACTTGAAAGAAAAAAAAAAAAGAAGGAACAAAGAAAGCTAACTAAGACCCTGTTTACATGGAGTGGGGGACCCCGGTCTAGTGGGGTAGGTTTCTTTTGTTTTCTGTCCCCCAGAGCGTGAAAACAAAAGAAACCAACCCCACTAGACCGGGGTCCCCCACTCCATGTAAACAGGCCCTAAGTTCTGCAATAACAATATAAATGCAAATATTTATAGTTTATGTGAAAAAAGGAGGTACTATCTCATAGAATAGCTGGGGAGTTATTGCCCTCCTTAAACTGACCTATTCATTACTCTATTACTTGTGCGGGCGCTAACGTAGCATTTTTTAAACTCCCTTATATAGAACAGCAATTCATTCTTGTATTTTTCGCTGATTTTGTCCACGTCGACAGAAGAGAAACAACAGAAAAGAAAGAAAGAAAAAGGAAGGAAGGAAGGAAAAAAAGAAACGAAAAAAAATGAAAAAAGAACAAAAGAAGCGATAGAATTGAAAAAATGAAAAATTTTCCATGTTGTAAAAGGTGTGATCATTAAGTAATACAAACTTTGAAAAGAACCGGAATTTAAGAAAGATTTTTGTATAATAGGAAAGATATAATACTGGCTCTGCAATAACAAGTTAATTAGGTGAAAATAATCAAATTCATGTGAAGGAAGGAGGTGTAATTCTCGTAGAAGAGGGTCATCAAAGAACAATACTTAGACAACCAATAAGTAGATATAAAAGGTAAGCTTTTAGCAAGGTTTTCATTATGTTCTAGCGTCTTTCGCGGAGACGAAGTTTCAATTAGTTGTCTAAACCGCACAATTCGGTAAGTGTATTTCTTTATTGAATTATTGAATTCTACTGTTGAGCCTTTTAAACCGATCTCTAACCAACTGACTATATAGCTACTCTATGTACTCATCGAATATTTTTATTCTTTATCTTGCCACTCGTTCTGAAGTTTGCTCTTAAGCAATCGCATCAAGCAAATAGAACTGAGAGCTCTTGCATCAATGCATTTAATCTTTTTTACCTGCCAGCTTGAAAATGTTTCAGATTGTACTGTATCAACTGTCTCTCGACAAAAATATCCTTTTCTTTTAATTAGAAGGTTTTGCTTTATAATGAAGATAAAACACTGATGCCTGTTAACAGTTTCAAAGCCTTCTTGAACATAATGACCGAAGGTGATGTTACGCGGAATTCGCACAGACGATTTTTAGCTTAACATGGCTTTCAATGTTAATTCGAATGGTTGCAACATTAATCGCAAAGCAGTATGTCTATGGACTATGCTTATGCTCGATGAAACGGCCGCATCAATCAAAACTCTTTCTGATATTGAAGATACCGAAAAATGTTATCAGTTTATCTGAATATCCGGTCTTGTGTTTCTTAATTGTGGCGAAGTAAAAAAACAAGATTATTTATTCCAACTGAACGTATGCCTATACCATATGCTTCCGCTACTCATAGTTTTGCATCTTTAATATTACATTGACTCTTCCAAAATCATGTTGAATATAGGGCCAGACTATAAAATTCTGATTGCTAATTATTTCAGAAACTTTCCAAAAGAATTCATAACTAAAGATGCTTCGCGTACTGGTAATTTTCCTGCTAATCATTGGCCTCGTAGCTGCGGAAGAAAGGCTTCCAAGTAAGTTTGTTATCTGCCGTACTGAAATGAAAAGCAATTGAAGAAAAGAATATCGGTGCAGCGCTCTACCAGTTGTGCTACCATGCTAACTGGGAGGCGGGGGAGGGTAAGGGCTACCACTGGGTACTGTTTAGGAGTCAATATTTTCACAGTTAAAAGGAAGAAAGGACACCTACGTTAATCAGTCCTTTCCTAACACCTATAATCTCCGTTTTTTAGTTCACCTCAGTATTTAATTCAGCCAGCTCTTTCTTTGTTCTTCACCTTTTGTTTTTGAAGTTTCTAATGTGTTGAATTCTTTCTTTATTTTACGTTACCACTGAGTTTGCAGGGGCGGATCCAGGATTTTTCTTAGGAGGGGGTGCACCACTAACTGACCGATGACGTAAAAAATTTTAAAAGCGAATACGAAGAAGAGGGCTTTTGATTAGGAAATAACATAATGTGAACTGCTGAGAATACATATCAAACGATAGAGCAGATTTTGTATGTCTGTCAAGCGACTGCACAGTG